CGAACGTGTTAATTTCTTGTAAAATTTTGACGTTTCATAAGAACGCGCAAGCGTCTATGTGAATAAAGATATTTTATTATTATTATTATTATTATAATATACTCGAGCACCCCAAATTCGATGGCGGCGCGAAATTAATTATTAATTTTAATTGCTGACTTATTTTACTTACACGGATGAGCAGATTTGGTGGAAATACCATGGCCTCACAGAAGATCGGCGTCAAGTGGAAGTATTAAACTATCGCGTTTCGTCTGGTGAGTGAGGCTGGGTCCACTCTTTTAAAGTCTTTTGGTGAGAAAGTGGAAAACGAGCTGGCGATTCACCTGATGTTAAGTGATAGCCGTCGCCCATGGACAACACCTGTCAGGTTGCTAATGTTTTGCCACTTATAAATAAGGTGGGCCCGGCTACCTCATTCCCCAGACGGAACGCAGAAGTGTAACACTTCTGCTACCCAGACGGACCTGCCCATTCGTGCACTGTTGCGTGGCCCTTCCACAGTCAACACTTTCAGTCCTTAGACTATTAAAGGTTCATCGAACGCAGAACCGGTGGGCTAGCCAGAACCCACGGGTTTGACGCCCTCCACAGTGGGTAGGGCCGCGCATGTGCCCATGCGTGCGTTAGCTGAGGAGTGTCGCCTACGGGCTTCGAGGTTCGGTGGGCTCGGCCATCGGGGCCGTTGACTGTGATTGGTTAGTCGGTGGCCGGGGGCGATGAGAACCGCCCTGGAACGCGGGTGTACCTAGTGTACGCGTTGTGTTGGATTCGCCGTATATGCGAGGTTGGACCATGATGAGGTGTTTGTGGTTGCAATAAGTGTGTGTGTAGTGTTATCTGTCGGGACCCCGACGGTGGGTCCGACATACTTAAGTCCCCTTCCTCGACCAGGTCGATGAGGACGTTGCGCGGATGCATTAGCAAACTATCGGATGGTGCAAATGCCCATGGGTGTAAATGCCCATTGGCGGTGGTATTCAGTTAACATTTTCTTTTCTTTTTTTATCTTATCATTGTACTTTTACGAATGTAATTAAAGTTAAAATGAGATATTATATTGTACACTTCAAATGCAAAGTGAATAGCTAGCGATGAAAATTATACTGGCCCACATATATATGTGTAATGGTACAATTTATTTTATGTAAGTACTGTATGTTATAAAACAATAAAGTAAAATAAAAATAAATGAATAAAACATCAGTTGGAACGCCTGCTGTCTTACAAATTTTCGAATAAATACGGTCAGGTTAGGCTCGTAACGATAAAACCTCTTTGCTAACACAAGGATTCAGCTTTGGCATTTATCATCATTAACTGATGATCAGATAATGATGACAAATCTAAAACAAAGATTACAATAACAAATCAACACAAGCACAAAAGTGATGATGTGTTCCAAAAATGTAAAAAAAAAATATTTCCGGGTCTAATTAAAAGTGCGTTCGCAATTAAATCATAACTTTTAAAATTTTAAACGTAGATCGTTCAAATTTAACACGAGCATTTTGAAAAGTGAATAGCACTCTTTAAATTCGTTTTCATCCATAAAATAATATTGAACATCTGAGAGCTGGGAGCAAATTCATTTGGTAGAGCATAACGTAGTGAAGCACTCTCTATCAAATGGAAATAATTTAATCTGACTGAGCTTCTTCCGACCGAATGTTCATTTTTTAATACGAGTATTGCACGCGTTGATAAATTGCGAAATGAATCGATTGAATATTAAACATAATTTTGCTAGTAGACAGTTTAAATTCAAAATACACTAACTCTTTACAACTTGGTAACAGATATGATTATTGAAAAACGAAAATATTTTCGGGACATTTAACATTTAAGTTTCGCGACGTTCATTATGTAAATGAAAAATATCCTAGTTTGTAATACAAAAAGTGTCTTTCTCTAAAGACATCACTACGGCCTAATGTTATACGAGTATTTGTGCCGTATGGAGACTTGCTTACCATCTTATCTCGAAGATTCATCTGGTAAGTTTGTCGCCGAAGCCATTATTAATATTAGCTTATCACGTGCACTGCAGGATGCAGAGGGACCATACATACACCATACATCGGATATCTGCATTTCGAATTGATAAATAAAATAATTTCGGACACATTTTTACACAACTTTCTCTCTCAAACTAAGCAACACATGTACAATGGGTACTAGAAAACGGATAAACATAAATGAACATACTTTTCTTTTGTAAATAAAAATACATCATACATATATAAACACCCAGACACTATAAAAACACTATGTTCATCACACAATATTTTTTCCAGTAGCGGGGATCGAACCCACACACTCTGGCGTAAGAGGCAGGCTCACTACTCCTCACGCCAATCGGGTCTTCAAATATTATTTATAATCTCCTGATTTTGCCTAACTGGAATATTATAGTTATACACTAATCCATATACTTTAGTACATTAACATACTATCCTGGAAACGCCGCCATTTGTGAGGCCGTTAATGTTTAACGGTATACGTACTTAAGCGGGTCCGAAGCTAGTCTAGTAAAAATCCCTCGTAAAAAACCGCCACTAAGACTTGGGCTTTTGTTGGTCGTGAAACAAAAGTGACTCCTCTTCACGAATTCGGCGATACAATTTTACGACCGCGTTCCGAAAATGAGGAAACCGCTTCCCTGTAAGTGGTCACTTTGTGATGCAAGTTTACGAGTCGAATTTACAACATGCCCTAAGAAATATACGAAGGCATCGCTATCGTTAACCTAAGACAGAAGTCGGTTCAAAACTGCTGTGTATATATACATAAAGTACAAGAAAAGCTGTGAATTCCAAAAAGTACTCCGTGGCTACGAATTATTTACTACATTTAAACTGTGGTAGGGCCACGCAACAGTCCTCGCTGTTGCACGAATGGGCACGTCCGTCTGGGGAAGTACCACGCCCTCACAGTATAACGGCGTGAAGTAGATAGTAGATATTACACTTTACGGCGGTTATAACTCAACATTATGAGAACCGCCAGCTCGATTGCCAACTCACATAAAGAAAAAGAAATGAAACAAGGTATCGGTAACAAGCATCGACTACTCAAGTCTATTGAAGTGGGCAGGAACAGCGAGGGCCGTACGACCGTCCCATATAATTACACTCAATTTGACATGCAGCGAGTCTATCGCCTTATGCTGTATAGAACTGTAAAAGTGATTGTGACTTTAAGCTATTAAAAAAACGTACACTTAGTGCGCGCCATTCGCCTCAGACCGAAACCCGCAAAGGGAATAACATTTCAACGCCCTCGTCTAAACGCCCACCACTATCTAAAGCGCAGTTTCTTTAAACAATACTTTGAACATTATTCACCTTTTGAGGCGTTCGTATCAAATTAATAAGCATTTCTGCGTTATACATTCAAATATATAAAAATAAATAAATAATAAGTAAATAAATTCGTTTTGGTTTCATTATCCAACGTAACATCATCTTAAAGACAACTATTTCGTACAGTATAAGTCCAGACAACATTCTAGATAGGACCAATATTTGTGGACATTACTTAAACATATCAGAACCACTTACCCTTACGCTTCGCCATAAAATATTACAACTCGTGTTATTTTAAAAGTCTCATATCATTCTTTAATATTTAATATACCACTTTGCTATATTACTTTACTTTTATAACACATTACGACGTTTACAATATTCCCTATTATCCTTCGCATTTTACACGGTACGGTACAGACAACGTCGCAGGTTACTTATTATAATTAACTAGCGACCCGCCCCGGCTCCGCTCAGGTGGTATCTAGTAAAACCCGCATCAAGATCGGTTGCGTAATTTTAAAGATCTCAGCATACATAGGGACAGACAGACAGCGGGGCGACTTTGCTTTATACTATGTAGTGATAATCGTTAACATTTTTGACATATTTTTACAGAGCATATCTATTGCGATACTAAGCAAAGCTTCCGTGCAAAATAATCAACTTAAAAAGCAAAGTTTCCTAATATTTTATGTTAAGTGCAGAGATGTGCACTATACAAATTTAATTTCATATTGCAATGGCCAGATCTCTCGTTCTAATTATCGTTTCGAAATTGTTTGTATGCTGTAAAGGTTATAAACAATAGATGCGCCAAGCATTGCTTGAAATGCGAAGTGAAAACATAAAACAGTATCAAATTTAAAATTGTATAAAATATAATTCTACATATTTAATAGGCTCTCCGAACGGTAATAATAGTATTTATATCATATCCATTACTACAAATATATTTTTGGGTATTCCTTTTTTAAACATAGCTCATGGAAAGCGTTCGGTAACGATGACGCGACTTTTAGACTTTTGTTCACCCAAAAAGTGCTCAAGGCACCTAAAGAAGTTTAAACTTTAAAAAAAAAACAATATAAATAAAAGGCGTTGAGACTTTCGTCGGTGTCACACCAACTTTCAGCCGTTTAGCTTAGTGGTTAAGCCATAAGGAAGACGAGAAACTTTTCGTTCTTTTTTCTACAAATTATAATAAGCAAAGCTTGTTCAATGGACATCATAAACACAGTCACCACCATTGTCATTTAGCTTCGAATTACTTTGATTACGCAATGTGAGATGATATATTACTATATCCGTATGCTTCTCCACTAAATAAAACAACATGTTAATCGTTTTAATCCGCAGAAAATCCACTAGTCAATAGAACACATAGGCATACGTTCGAAAGCCACGTCTGTACATTAGTCATCATCATCATTTCAGCCTGTTCGAGTCCACTGCTGGGCATTGGCCACCTGCATCCATCCACTTCCCGCAAACTTGCACAGGTCGTCACTCCATCTAGTGGAGGGTCGTCCTAAACTGCGATTATTACTTACTATTAGTAACGGTTCCAAAACTTCGATTATCTACATAAAAAAAAAGACTATCGATAAATGAAATGTATTTTTCTTATGTCTATGAATAAATGATTTTTACAAACTTTGATTAGTAACGGTTGCCAAATCCCATCGCCAGCAGGTGGTGGCGATGGGCAGCAGTACGACTTCCGACAAAACCATCAATACCAGCACCGATTCGGCTGCGACCGCGCTCACCTCCGTGACGGGCACCGATGACTCGATGGACGCGGACCCAGAGCACGAGGCGCAGCAGCCGCCGAGCCTCATCGACGCGGACCCCACACCGATGCAATCCCCCAAGCCGCCGAGCACCGCGCCCCCCCACTACCACCGCCCGCAGAGCAGCTGCGACATCGACTCACCAGCGTACACCAAGCCGCAGTCAGCCACGGACGTCTTAGAGTCCCCTAGGCCCGGCCCCGCGAGATTCGTCTTCGACGTGCCCCTCCCGGAGCCGAAAAGGGTGGACAAGCCGAGGAACACCATCCAAGTGAGCCAAACGAGCGCGCCGTCGACCTCGATACAGATCCCGTTCGACCCCAAGCTGGAACCGCCGAAGAGTCCGAAAGCGAACCAGGCTAAGTACGAGACGCATTTCAAGTTTGAACCGGAAGTAACGAAGCGCAGGGGAAGCGAGGCGAAGGCGAAGAACAAACAGAAAGTGGACAAGCAGGAGTATTACAAAGATGAGGTGGCTAAACTTAGGCGGCAGCTCGAAGGCACTGAGGTGTTCACAACTTCTCGAAGGAGGTCATCGGCCCATCAACACTCTGTGCCACCGCCGTCCTCTAGAAGACAGTCAACAGGTACGATTCAAAATATCGATGCTTATATTTTAAGTATTAGGTGCAAATTAATAGCTGAGACAGGCAACAATTATAATTTTTTAAGTCACCAAATCAGCGAAGCATACTTGACGAATATGCAATACAAGCACACCAGACATTTGTTAACAACGATAACGAATCGAGTAACGTCCCTGATGATTTTAGTTATTACCTAGAATTGTATGATGTAAAAACGTTGAAAACCCCACTTTAAACTGTAAAACACAATATAACTTCTTGTATTTAAGTATTACACGTCATAAATGTACTGCCCCATTCAAATTGATGACTCCGTGACGCAGTTGCCAAGGTATTAGCTTCGGCTTCAGGGGTCGTGGGTTCGATTCCCACACGGGACAACTATTTGTGTGACCTACAGATAGTTGTTTCGCATCTGGGTGTTTCTCTGCATGAAATTAATGTTTGTAGCATTAAGCACGTTGCTTACAACACAGGATAATGTTATCCTAAAGTAACGTTTTTTAAAAATAAAAAAAGAACTCAATCTCCCCGCCTGTCAGTATCCTCGCACCGGATCAAGCGGGAGTTATACGGCGACGGGCGTTGCCGCGATAAATCAGAGAAAACAGTTCCATTTGTAAAACACCATTTACTTAATGCAAAGTGGATAGTTAATAAGAAACCTTATCGCTGCAGCGGCGCAAGTGCATGTGACCGCCAATCCGCTGGACTCTGCGACCACCACGATACCGGCGGGGCGCACGACCATCGTCGTTCAGCAGCCGTCCCTCTCGCTGGACTACGGGGGCTGCTCCACGATCCTGCTGCGGGACGGAGAGGACGGGGGCAGACGGAAGAGCAGGGTCTGCAGCGACCACATACAGCAGCTGCTCGACGTCACCAGCCAGTTCACCTCGGAGGACCTGCACGAGTTCGACAAAAGGTACGCACTATAGGACGGCGGTAAGGCCACGCAGCAGCCTCGGCTGTTGCACGAATGGGCAGGCTCGTCCGGGCAAGTAACACGACCTCACAGAAGACTGGCGTAAAGTGGAAGTATGACAGATATTTTCGCGTTTTGTCTGGTGAGTGAAGTAACCGGAGCCAAATTTTAAAAAGGTAGTCAACGCATCTGCAAACCCTCGGGTGTGGCAGATGTCCATGGGTAGCGGTATTCACTTAACATCAGGTGAACCGCCTGCTCGCTTGGCAACTTTTCTCATACAAAAGTGCGTTTTCAGACTATAAGTGTTTATTACAGGCGCTATAATAAAATTACGTCTTTCGTCATCAGGTACGGCAGTCCCCACCATTCCCGGTCGCAGTCCGTGAAGGCGGCTCGTTCCAGGACGGGCGAGAGGCAGTTGCTGGGACTGCCGCAGCAGCGAGCGCGAGTCGCCTCCATGCCCAACACCGGTGTCGAGGAAGAGTATTACCGCCTACGTCATTTCAGCATCACGGGTGAGATCTCTAGTTATCACCGTTTCGCTCCAGGGTCAGGGTAAAACTAAAACCGGCTAAGTGCGAGTCTAACTCGCGCACGAAGGGTTCCGTACTATTATAAAATTTTGCACGGGAGCCCCAATTAAATATTTTTTTAGTATTTTTTGTTATAGTAGCAACAGAAATACATAATCTATGAAAATTTCAACTGTCTAGCTATCACGGTTTATGACATACAGTCTGGTGACAGGCGGACAGACGGACAGACAGACAGACGGACAGACAGCGGAGTCTTATTAATGGAGTCCTGTTTTACTCTTTGGGTACGGAACCCTAACAAAACAAATAATATTTTGCGACTACCATCTAAGTTTAGAAAAAGTATTACATATGAATGCAAAGCGTCTTTTAAGACGTCTTTATGTTCGTATTCCACGTTCTCTTTTTAATGTGACAACACCCGTCGCAACACCAGAAGTATAACACTTCCACTTTACGCCGGTCTTGCATAAATTTCTTAAATATGATACAGGAAATGTATGTTCCGTATTTCGATGAACAAACGATCTGGTTTGATTTGCTTAGCCGGCTACTTGTGTCACAGGCAAAGGTGTGATCAACCGCGGTGACTCCCTCCGCTCCAGGAGGTCGAGGTCGAACACGTCCGTGGCGTCCAGCGCGTCCAGCACCGAAGCGGCAACTAGAGCTTCTGCCCCTTGCTCCTTGGCTTCCTCAAGGTTGCTTATTCTGCACACATGATTTACAAGACTACTTTAACAATATCTAATCCATGAATAGCCTTGTTATTATAACGCCCGGTTTCTGAAACACTGAACATCGCAGAAGTCAACTAATCAGCTGTCAAATAGCATTTCAAATGTTATTTAGGATGCCAAAAGGATTGTTAAATTCTCTGAATTGATCAGATTCACTTCAGCCTATTCTACGCAGACGTAGTCGCGGGCAGCAGCTAGTGTGTAAATAAAACGACGGTGAAAGACGAGGATGGCAATTGGAGAATCAGGAAAATTAGGGAAATTGAACATCTTGTGTCCGAACCCATTACCGGCGAGACTGCGTTGGCTTGGTCATTTGAAGAGGATGGGGGAGGACCGTGCCGTCAAGAGAGCATTTATATGGAACAACCAAAAGGGAAGCGTCCTGTTGGTCGCTCCAGATATCGGTGGAAAGATGAAGTCCAGAAAGATCTGAGCGCTCTCCAATCAGCCAAGATCCTCTTTGGGTCCCTGAGCCTGGGCTAATGGGATTTGATCCTTTGCGTCTTTTAGGTACAGACGCTCTAGCCACTAAGCTAAGCGGTCGACCTCCTCACTGCGCAATATTCGATTTTTTTTTTGTTATTATTTCTAAAATATGCAGGTTTCCTCACGATGTTTTCCTTCACCGCTGATAATTCGGCACTTAAAATTAACAATTTCATTTGTTCCGGCACCGGGGATCGAACTCAGGTTACTCGAGTATATTGAATTAAAGGCGAGCGCCCGGACACTGAGATGCTTATAAAAGTCTGTATCGATCACACTCACCAGACGAAACGCAAATGTATGAATGCTTTTAATTGACGCATATTAAGCATAAATTTCGTACATTTTCTACACAAGGCTAAATAGTGTTGATAATTGAAAATCATTCGCACGCCAAACTTCTGAAAAAATGCAAAATAAATCATCTCCTAAACACATCACTGCCTTTAATCGACTTCTAATTGTTTTGAGCAATTTCCTAGGGATTCCTCGGCCGGTCTCAGTGCTTATCGAGTTCTGGTATTGGGAGCCGCAGGGGTGGGCAAGTCCAGTCTCATTGGCCAGTTCATGACATCCGAGTACCTGCATGCATACGACACCAGCATTGGTAAGAAGTTTAAATAATTAATAAGTGATGAGTAAATTAAAATTTTAAGTCTTCTTAATGCTAAATCAACACTTAATTAATACAACGTACCCACACTGCAATAGCGAACGAATTAACACCGATAAAAGTTTCGAGCTAATTTTTGTCTTTGTGTGTTTGTAACAAACTGTAAAAGATCCACGACTCTGTATCAGACCACGATGCTTCTGAAAATGTTACAATAAAGATTATTCTTCTGAAACCAACTAAAATGGAGATATCTCACCAGATGATGAATCCGGGGAGAGATCTGTCTGCGTCCTATTGGCTGGCGAAGAGTCCGAGATCACATTCCTAGACTCGCCCCCGGAACCCGTGATTGTAAGTTCAACGTTTGCAATAATATACACAAATTCACTATGACAAGATAAAAGGTAAAGAAAAGTTATAATGCTTTAAGTATCTCATTATGAACACGTAGCAAAAGCTATTTACGTTATTCAGCAGTCTTTATCAAAATACTTTTGACGACTCCTGATATTAATTCAGGCAGTGAAAGTTGTTAAGATGTATATTTTTCTCAAGCCATAAACAAGGTAAAATAAAATTTAAAATAGCTTTATTTCAAATACAATTTTCTATGTTGTTGTCGATGTTCTTAATGTACTACTCTAACAAGAGTCTAACAGGCAAAAATAATTTTGATGACTGAAGCCAAGGGCGTTACTTTGGTTCGAATTCGAAAACTTGATCCAGGCCATTTCAATATTTTCCAAAAACATCGCGTCAAGGACACTGGGAACTCATTCAAAACACACAATTTCGTCGAACAGGAAGACCGACAGCGAGTGATAGTAATTTTGAGACGTCAAAATTATTGAATTGAATCATCTCGCTGCTCTACGAAGGCGGCTTATGGGGAAGGTGGCACAGAGCGCCATTACACGCCTCGCCTAAACCCATTAGCACTTTTAAAGCGTTCGCTGGAATCTCGTTAGCGGTGACAAAGGGCGGCGTAATTTCGTAAGAGTTCCGACGCACGTTGGATGTTTGGAAGGCTTGGGAAAAGGGCGGAGACGGAATTTACAGAGTACCATGTCACAATGGCTTAGATACTTTAAAAAAAAACGTATATTAAAATGTATATAAAACGTATATAATTCCTAAAGGAAACACAGCTATACGTTCGTGTGCTGTGCGTTTCTTTCTTTTCTTTCCTTATTTATTTATAAAAGAAGGAAAGAAAAGAAAGAAAAACGCATTTATTCCCGATCTTACCACAATAGATACACAACAAAGTTATAAATAATGGACACATATGCATACAGTCAGGAAATAAAATAGAAAGTATCTTCCGGTTAGATATATCTCTATTGCAATCATTTCGTTCGAATCAGCTTCACTGTGAAGGTGGAAACGAATTTAAACCATGTATATTGTTTAGGCACAATCATATCAGTCCGATAAAAACCAAAACCTTCTTCTTCTTCTTTCTTTTGCCGTTATCCCACGCTAGGTGGGCTCGGCCCAAAATGTACATCTTTTATTTTCGGAGCCATGTTGTTATTTCAGTTATTAGCTTGAAAACCGAAGGTTTGGTTGTTATAAAAACCAAAGCCAAAGCCAAAAAAACCAAAGCGTACAAATGGATTAGGGATAAACGATTGAATTCGCATCGGCTCCTATTCTTTGATTCCTCAATCATCTCATTTGTATCCATTCACGAAAATTTCAAGGGAATAGGCGTCACGTAAATCATTCGGGCTCACATAACCACTCGACACCGGTCCGGTCGAGAACCAGGCAACGAATGATTAAATTTAAACTGACTTTACAAAAACCTGTTAGACCTTGTTCCAATGAGGTCCCCCGGACCCCTCGGCCGTCAGAAATATTATTCTTCGATTATATATGTCGGCGTGAAGACGTCACTCGAACATTTTATTAGTATCATCGTTTTATTAATTTCATAAAATATTATAATAATAATTTTAAATTGTATTCTCTTTCAATCATTTTTGTTTATCTGATAAATAATTAGTTTTGCTTATAAAATAATCACTTCAACGTTTCTTGTAATTAAAAAGTGAGTCGGAACTTCGCTCACTTTTTAAATGATAAAGTTATTCTTAAAACCTTATTCCAAATAAATAATTATCAATGTAATAAAAACTTATTGAAAAGATTTAAATGACTAATTTTCACCAAGAGTAATCTTTTTAATAAATTATAAAATGTTCTTGCAAGTTTATTTTTAAAATTGTAAACATCCGCTTAACTAAATGTGTGGTTTCGAAAAACAATTAACATTGTTATAATTCTCATTATTTAAATAATTATTAATCGTGTAAAGAACATGCAAATACAACGAGTCCGATTGTTTTGTAAAGTTTCTACAAAATCCACAAATTCCGTGACATTTAGAGATAGCGTCCAGAGGGCGCTAGTCGTCTTAAGTCGTGGGTTTTGTAAAAACTAAGAAAATGGTTTGGCACTTTCGCTCCAGCCTTGGACCGGTGTAGACACCTCAATTCTTAAGTTAAGTATTCTGTATTTCTGTTATAACGATTGTTAGCCAAAATAAGTGTTGTGATTTTCCATTGTTTAAAGTTGTGTAGATAATGTATGTTTTGTGAAACTAAATAAAATTGTTCGATTGTTGTGGCTATTACTAATTTAAATTAATTATGAACTCCGATGAAATTAGTTGTGACGTCAGCGATGCTGACGTCACTATTCTTAAAAATAACGTTTCGGTTCCCGCGCTTTCATATATAAACTACTTTATAAAAAAAGAGTAGATGACGATCTCTTTTGGACCGCTTGGGCATGTTAGACTAACAGTATCATGATATAAATTACACATCATCAATTACTCTATTCATCGTTCAAGAAATTAAAAAAAAAGCATTCAGTTTAACACCTTCGTCTTACATAAACGCTATAGTCTAAAATTTTCATCGTAGCATTCAACTTACGAATTCGATGAAAAAAAATGTTCAACGAGATAATTTCCATTCGACATTTAGGCAAAAATTCACTGGGTCTCTACTTTCGCTAATAATGTGCTCTCAATATTCAAATGTGCTTATCAAAGAGGCGTTACTGAGCTCAGCACAAATCGTGAACGACCTGAACAAATCGACCGAAATCGTGTTTCAATATCTTTTTGTATATTGATTTCTTGTTTTTACGCGAATATTATACATTGATAAATGAAACTATTATATGGATCTTAACAAGTTGAATTATGTTTTTAAATTCTGCCTGTCTCATGACCATGAACACGGGAAAGGGTTCGAAACGTCGGGAATTTATATAAATATCGGTATTTATAATATATCTGTAATTTAACTAATAATACAATCGCAAAATTTCTAGGACCCTTTCAAGTTCTACTGCGTTGGTTTAAGTCGCTCGATCATAGTGATAACTTTTTTTTGTTTTGATTACAAACTGAGTTGTGTAAACAAAATGCACTTAAGCAGGGACATAGTTAAAAATTTATTGTTTATATTAATTATTAAGGTGACCGAAGCCAATTTGGTTGCCTTAAGAACCCTCACATTTTAACACAGACAACTGTGAGAGGTTTAGAGGAGAAGACAAATGATAAACTCAAGATCGAATAACAAAACCGAGTTCAAATATCTCGCTCTATATTCATGTTATAATTGATTTTGGGTTAGGAGTTCCCTAAGTATCTCCGGAGCCCAAGATCCAATACCAATTAAATTAATATGAGACCACATGGGAAGCACCAGCTTTCCAATAAATAAAGAGTCATCAAAGTCCGTTCACCCAGTCGAAAGTTACGAGACAACAAACATAAAAAAGTGCCGTCGAATTGAGAAACTCCTCCGCTTTTGAAGTTGGTTAAATAGAATTTAGAATGCAGTCATATGCAGCTCATTCTTTGCTACAGAACGAGGGCTGCGCCCACGGCTACTGCGTGGTCTACTCTACGGCGGATAGAGGAAGCTTCGCAGAGGCCGAGAGAAGATTGCAGACGCTATGGGCTGCTGGTCACACTGCCCGTCGTGCAGTGATCCTAGTCGGGAACAAAGCGGATCTCGCTCGCTCCCGAGCCGTGCCAACCGACGGTTAGTGTGATATTCCCTAACAAGCGACCACATTCTCCCATTCCTCTTCACGAATTACGCTTTCAATTTCTTTCCACGTGATAAACAATAGCATCAAACGTACTCAACCATCTAACTATGGTCTGGTACGTTCATTACAAGTAACCACATCAAGTTTTCAAGCCCAGCTAAATCTAAAACCTTTCGGAAGGCCACAATGGACCAATTTTGTAAATTGATTAATGTATGTCTTATGATGAGCGTTAAACCTCGATTAACTTTCCTTCTTTAAGCTTAAATCAATATAAGGGATGCGAAAACAAAGAGAAGCAGAGTTATTGATTGCACTCCTTCTTTGCAGAAGGAAAAACACTCGCCACTTCATACGAGTGCAAATTCATTGAGACATCAGTTGGAATCAATCACAACGTCGATGAATTGCTCGTCGGGCTGCTCACCCAAATCCGGCTTAAGCAACAACACGCCGACAGAGTGAGGTATGTTATATATGGTCTTAAATAGTAGTGCGGTGGTAGGGCCACACGGCACCCTCCGCTGTTGCACGAATGGGCAGGCTCGTCCGGGTAAGTAACACGACCTAACAGAAGACCGGCGTAAAGTGGAAGCATAATACTTTCGCGTTTTGTCTGGTGAGTGAGGTGGCCGGAGCCTAATTTTAAAAGGTTGTCAACGCATCTGCAACCCTCGGGTGTAACAGATGTCCATGCGTTCACTTAACATCAGGTGAAACGTCTGCTCGCTTGGCAACTTTTCACATAAAAAAAGCAAAAGGTAAACCCATAAATAGATAACTGAGGTTAGATGGATGAAGGATGTTAGATAAATGAAAAGGGAAGTGAATAATATTTGGTATATAAGGGTAAAATAACACGTAACCCACAAAATGCTAGGAAAAACAGTATTGCGACTGAAGAAGGATTAAAAGATCTGCATTGTGAATGTTGAATGAGGACATTTGTCCCCATCTGTTACTGTAATTGATTGCCCAATATATATCCTTAGTCATTCATCTCTTAATTGATTCTTTTATTGAATATTCCTTTATGGTATTATTGAACATGACGCCGTATTTTAGTGTTTCTAACAGTCAGAATACGCACGGGCAGTCACTCGGATTTGGACCTGCAAATAGCTTCATTTCTGGAATAAAAACTACGAGTTGTAACGGCGAAGCTATAGGCCTAGTACCCAGGCGTAACGTATTCGACATCCGTTGTAGGAAACGCAGTGGCCCTCGGAAGCCACGCGGCCGCGCGCGCTCCCCGGCGGAGGGCGAAC